TCACTTCTGCTAATCATTTGGTTGATCCATTCTGCAAATCCTTTTGTAAATCAGTTTTGCAGATCTCTTTGTAGATCTGTTTACACTATGTCAAAAGTAGTAGTTGTATTATTTTTTTCAGTGTTGAAAGATATTTGGTTGTTGTTATCAGTAGTAAGAATAATATTTTCAATAACTTTGTTGATAATTTTTGGAGAAGTTTCCATAGTTTCTGTAGTTATTTTTTGTTTTTTATTATTTATGAAAGGAGTTTCTAATAAAGTTTATTCATTTGTTTCTACGAGAGAACTAGTAAACTGTCCGTTACTGTTTTTTTGTTGAGTTCTTTTATTATTTTTAGAATGTAAGAAGTGTTTTTGATATAATTATTTGCTCTGATTTCTGGCATGATAGCTGTAGGTGAGAGTTAGTGTCGATCCTTAATAAATAATGTTAATGTATAATTTTTACAAATTGTGATAATTAGACAAAATATCAAAAGTTTTCTTTTTAAATCTATGTAGTAAAACATATGATTATCTAAATAATGTTTATATTAAGTATAAATATTTACGTATAAATATTTATTATTTAAGAATTATATAATTGATAATTTATGATAAAAATAGTTTATTAATAAAATATAAGAAAATATAAGAAAAAAAATAAGAAATAATAAAGAAATAAAGAAATTATTTAATGAAAGGTAAAATGCAATAAAGAACTATTAAGAGAAATTCTACTAAATATAATTAAATCTAGATCTACCTAAAAAGTTTAAATACCAAATTATATATATATATATTTCAATTATATAAAATAATATATTAATTATCTTAGCTTTTTCAACTATTAACAATTTTAACAATTTTAACTATTTTAACTAAATTAACTATGTTAACTATATCAAATATATAAAATATGTTAAATATGTCTGATATGTCAATTATGTTAATTATATTAATTATATTATCACTTAGATCACACTATATAGGTTAGTCATATTTTAATCATCTGATCATAATAGTAATAATAGTAAAATATTTTAGTTTAGTAATAATACTTAATTAATCTTAATAAAGCTTAAAAAGAATTATTATGACTTAACACTTACAAAAATGTGATTTCTCATTAATAATATAATAATTAATAATAAAAATAATAAAAATAAAATCTTATATATTTTCAGTTTATTAGTTATACATCTAATTGAATTAATAAAAAAGTAAACATCTTATGCAGTATTATCTTTCACTTCAACTCCAATTGCAATATTACTATTAATCCTATTTAAGTTTATAAAAAATTAGAGTTTCAAATTTAATCTAATAGATAGAATAACCTGATAGCTTAATTCAAAAAGTTCAGATTAGGTCAGGTGTAATATCTGATTTAATCCTACCTGAATTTTTTAATTAAAATTCAAAATTTAATAATTTCATTAATATTGATTCATTTGAGATAAAATAATTACCATTCGAATTCTCATATAGAGATAAATTGAATGAGATATATTTAATTTATTTGTGTGTAAGGCAATAAGAGAAGACAACACAAGAAAAAAATTTCTAAAATTTTTAGAAATTTTTTTCTTGTGTTGTCTTCTCTTATTGCCTTATACACATTTTATATTACTACTGAGAGGGATAAAAATATTTGCATGGTTTTATTTTAGCAATAAAATTTTTTTTATTAGGATAGCAGTTAATTTTTTTTTATATTTACAAATAATACAATAATATTTAGTATGTCTTCTTTTAGTATTGATTACTGCCTGAATTCTATTTAGCATTGATCGTACTAAGTCACGATATATTTTTTGTGGTATCGCTTCTCAAACTTCTTTTATCACCTTTTTAAGTTCACAAATGCTTGATAGCTGAGGGTTGTATTTTCAAATTTTCACTTCAACTACAGCCCACAAGTTCTCAATTAGGTTAAGATCAGAACTTTGAGCAGGCCATAAAAGTACCTATACATTTTGAGAATGCAGAAACTCTTATATAACCTTCAATATGTGAACTGGTGCATTATCTTTCTGAAAAATGAATTTTTTTTATTTTTCAGGAAAATGCTTTGAGTGTGAAAACCGCATAAGTGAAAAGCATCTCTTTGTATACACTTTCAGTTACTGAACCTTCAAGTAGAATAATAAGACTTAATTTTAAAAGAAAAAACATGCTCAAAACATTCTTTGAGAAGAATGCTTTATTGTTGATGCAATGCAATCTTTATTAAATTTTTCTTCTGGCTTTCTTCACACTCTTCTCCATCCAGTTTTTTGAAACTGTGAAAATGTAGACTTATCTGTCTAGACTATCTTTTTTCAGTCTTCTATAGTCTAATGTCTTCTTTCTATTGCTCATGCAAATCATTTGTTTTTGTTGATTGCTGAGATGAGAAGCTTCTTTCAAGAAATACAGGAATGCATATTTTTCTTGTAAAGTGTATGACGAATTATTTTTGTAAAGACTGACTTATTAATTTTAACAGAAAATATATTACTAGACTTTCTCGTCTTAGTTCTTTATTTTTAAGAACCATTGCCTTCAATCTTTGCCTTTTTTAGCTATCGATCAAACAGAGTCAATCTAGTCATTTTTTAGAAGGTGCTTCTAATTTATAAGCTGCAAGACATCTTATAACAGTTATTCAATAACATCCTATAGCTTTTGCAATCTCAGTATTGTTGTAGTCTAATTTTTTTGCTGCAATAATACCTCCCTTTTGTATAGGAGTTAATTCTTTAGCAAGACCTATCGTATGCACAAAATAAAAAATAGTAGAGATTTTTAAACCCAATTTTGCAATCTTTAACATATTAAATCAAAACAATAAACAAATAATCTATTTAGGAAATATATAGCAAATATGATATAAAAATCACATGGCCAGTTACATATTAACAATTTATTAAATCAGATAAATTTTGATCATGTAATATTTTTGTCTCCCCTCGGTAGTTATCAAAATATAGCTTATTTAATTTTACAATATAAATTTTAGAACACGTATTATAGATTTATATATAAATACAAAATGTGATATAACTTTATCAATATTTATTCAGGTAAGAAGTAATAAGCTATTATTTGATTTATCATATTGAGATAAATCCAATGAGCTTTATTTAGTCTATTTTGGATCACTAGATATTAAGATATCTCAAAATAATTATTTTTCTAATTTTTTTTAATGTAACCCTATGATCTGATCTAATCTGATACTTAGAGTTCTAGTTAGAACTTTAACAAATTAAATAGATTTATAATTTCCAATATCTATAAAATTTGAATTCTAAAGTTATTTAAATTTATAAGATTTTAATCCTAATAATTTTGAAAAATTGATAACACTTTTTATTAAAAAGCATTTGACTTTTATTATGAATTAGAATTTTAATTAAGAAAAATCTAGTATTTCTTTTAATTTTTCAATATCCTGTTATATATTTATATCTAATTATATTAATTAAAAAAATAATAATGATAAGTTTAAACTATCAAAATATTTTTTACTTATTTTTTTACATAAAATTTTTCATTAAAATAGCAGTATAAGAATCTTTGATCACAAATATCTGGATAATATCTGGATTTAAAAATAATTTGAATAAATTATTAATATCTAGATTATCTGAATAAATTATCCGAATATCTAGATTAAAGCAAATCTATATTAATTAGATATATAAATAATAAATTCAAACTCTAGAATATAGTAAACAAAATATAATAAATAATATTTTATTTACAAAAATTTTAAATTTCTAGAATTTATAGTAAAATAAAATATTATTAAAAAATCTATAAAAAATCTATAAAAATATGTTTCAGCATTTGGTTTTTTAATTATTAAAGATTAAATATTTTCATTTTTATTATACAATTAAATATTTTAGTTTTGTCAAATATTATTAGAATCAGGTAAAAAATTATTGATTGTTAATTTTTACCAATTTAACTAAAAGTAAAAAAATTGTTTATTTTTAAAAAATCCTACATTGAAAGAAAAAAATTTACCTATTAATTACTTTTAACTTTTAAATTTCTTTTGTCAAAAAAATAAAAAAAGAGGAAATCTAAATTTTGATAAAATTTTTTTATTGATCTATTTGACTAATCATAATCATGTATTAAAATTAGCTTAAGAATTAAATAATAAAAATTTCAGATTTTCTACTTTTTTTACTAATAAACTTCTATATATTAATATAAATAGTTTAAATAAAAACTAATATGATTTATAAATATTATAGTAAATTATTTTACTTATATTATATTTATAAGTTAAATTATATAACTTAATTATTATATTAATACATATTTTATTTCACTATAAAAAATCAATGTATATCTCTTATCAAAAATTTTTATTAATAAAAAAAATATATATAGATGCTTGCAGTAAAGAAAGAAAACTACAAAAAAAAAAAAAAATTTACTTTATATATTAAATTTTGAATTTTTTATGATTTAATATTATCTAAAAAATATATATATTTTTTTAAAGTCTTTCCAAGCGTTCATATCGATATGACTTAAAATATGACTGGTTTATTTATATTTTTATTTAACACTGATTTATTTAACTTAACATTGATATTCTGAATGGAATAAATGGTTATTAAATATAAATGCAGTAAATTAAATAAGATACAATTCAATTTTCAAAAAAAAAAAATTAGGCAGCTAACATATCTTTATTTTCAGTAAACTTACGTAAAAAACCACATAATTTTTCAAAATGATACTGCGCCTAGTTGCTTCCTTTTAGTAGTTCGGTTATCTTTTTTGGTCGTTCTGTCGAAATAGCGCTAAATTTAAAAAAATTATTTGTTCTTTAAATTTTTTTTTCAAAGAAAAAGAACCCCGAATCAACATTCTAGGTAATCGAGCAACCTTTTACTTTTGTTAACAGCTCTATATCAGCCAATAAAGGAATTTTTACTCTAGCATGGACCTCTGTTTCTCTTGACTGATTCCTTACTTCTTTCACTTCTTCAATGACTCTTTTTTCCATCTCTTTTATCTCCCTTTTTATCCTATTTTCAGTTATAACGTTTAAACTACTCGCTCTTGCAATGTCTTCGTATTCTTTCACTTTTAAGTTTTTAACATTCATAAAATCATTAACTCTAACGCATATATTATCCCAATTATCCACTTTGTAATTGTCCCCGCAATAATTTAAATACTCCAGTAATATTTTTCGAGAACTTTCTCTGTCTTTTTTATTATCCTCTAATCTTCTTTTACTTAGAGGAGGATTATTTACATAGACAATATCATTACAAGACTTAACCAATTTAGAAATATTTTCATTCTCTTTCTTTAAATTTTCTTTACCTTTATTACATTCTTCTGGATTTTCGAAATCTTCAAATCTTGTTCTGACAATTGTAGTGTATTTAGTAATGCCACTCTCAAATATAGCTTTTTGGAGTAAATCAAAAGTTTCCACTTCTTCTTTGGTAAATCTTCCTCCTATGATCACAAATACTTGTTTTATTCCCTTCTTCATTGAGTGGACAGCTTCCCCGATCATATATAAAACTTCCTCTTCGGTTTTTTTGGTATCACCAACCCCGATAGTATCCACAATACGGTATTTCGTTCTATTCCACGTAAAGTCTTTTGTTTGAAATCTTTTGGTTTTACTGACTGAACTTCCGCTCTCCCCAAATTCATCTGTATTGCTGATTACATTAGCCAAAGTAGATTTACCGCCACCCGTTCGCCCAATTAACAATATATTTTCCACGTCATCCTCTTGTGTTTCAATTTCGTACTGACATTGATTTATCAACTCTCTGTTCGATTTAATTTTCTCTAATTCTTCATTAGCTTCATTCTTTTTTTTGTAAAACCCCATCAAGTCAGGAAACCTCTTGACCGCTTTTATTTTTATCTCATTTTCATCCTCATCATAATTAATCACCCTAATAGCGTATAAACAAGTAACATAATCAACCAACTTAATTTTTCCGCGAACCGCGGCCTTTTTCACTATCTCTTTGTCTTTTTCCCTATTCATTCCCAAAATTTTATTTTTTTCATCTTTATTCTAAAATCAATGTTATAATGAAAGTATTTATATGTAAATGATTAAGGATAATCTGATTCATTCATTATTCTTTTTGTGTATATGTTTTGTGTTTGTGTGATGTTCGATACGCCTATCATTTGCATTTGTGTCAATCATTTGTGTCAACTCATCCCTGATAATTCCTTTTTTTGAATTCTTCATTTAAACACTTTATTAAACGATTAAATTAAATATTATTACATTTCATTAGAATGAATTATTTTTTTAAGAAATCACGTCTATGATCCCTCCCACGTAGTAATTTCTTTCCAAAAATGTGCTTACAAAGAGGGTTTTATTATGTTGAGATTATATAGAGGGATAAAAACATAGGTATGATAAAAAATTTTCAGAATATGGTGATTATAAAGAGTGTCCGACTTTTAAAAAAAATCAACCGTAAAAATATAACAAAATAATTTCTACTTCTTTGATAACTTTACTAATTGCAAAAAAAAAAAAGAAACTTGATACTAAAATAAATTTTTATTAATATTTAAAACTACAATAACTTCAATCATTTACAAGGCATCAAAATTAATAAATCTTGAAGCTTTTCTTTTCTCATATTCATCTTCTCTCTACAAAATTAACAAAAAAGTGTGAAATAATATATAAAGAAATAAACTTTCTTAATCCTCAAATCTCTTACCTTTTCTATATAATTCAAAATGAATACAACGATGGCTAAAATTATCGTCACAATAATTAAAATCATTAGTACCCATGGTACCCAATCACCCGGATGAATATATAATTCGATTGACCATCTGTTAAAAGAAGGTATGGTCATACGTTAGCATTAAAAAATTGTTTGGTTTGGATTGTATCTCGGATAATTCAATTTGACTCACGAGGTTGGATTATCAACTCCTTCGGGTTGATAAGGAACGATGATAAGTTGTGAATTAGGTATTACTCCTGCTAAACTGGTATAATATGAACTCTAATAATATTATGTAAAAGTATGAGTTTTGGTCAACTTAATGAAATGCGTCAAATAAATGCATATATTATGTCAAATTGATAACTTACCTGATTTCTTGAAACTCCTACGAATAATTCTTCGACGTAATTATTTGTACGACCAAGTCCAAAAAGCGAATAAGGTGTTTGTAATGATAAATATCCACTCTGTGAATATTGTGCAACTATTTTATATGCAACAATATCTTAGATATTAGGATAAATTATTATTGAAAAATATATTACAATTAACATACCTTGGTTGGCTCTTTTCCTTCCAGATGTATCAAGCACAGTGAATTTAAATTCTGCACCAGGATAATTTACTCCAAAATTCTATGTAGAAGAATATTTTAATGAAATTTTTTTTTGATAATTTATAATGATATTACAACCAACCTGTTTGTGTCCCACTCCGTTTAATACTATTAATTATATTAAAACAATTTCTTTAGTATGCGCTCCAATGCATGCGTCTAACATAGTTGATTCAGACAACATACCTAGGGTCTTAAGGAAGAATGCATCATTAAAATAATTGTTGTGTATCATTTGTATATCTCTTGCCGCTGTTTTATCATGAGTAGCTGTGAATACCATAATATCCATCGTTCCCTAATAAAAGAAATTTTATTTATATCAAGCAAACTTTTTCCTCGTGGAAATAAAAATATATATAAAAGGTTCTATTACATCTTCATCAAGGTCAAGAAAAGCTGCATTTTTGGCAGTTTTGATATTATAAAGAGGTTGAGCACCATCATTAACTTTGACAAATGTTCTTCTCTGGGATGCAGCCGCTAAACCATGACACTTGCGGGTTGTACATAAAATTGACTCTAGCAGCGTTACATGTGATTCTTTACCGTTTGAGGTGACCACAAGTAAATCTGGATATCCATCAAGATTATAATCGCCTAGAAAAAAAAAAAATAAACTAGTTAATAAACTGTACAGGTATATAAGAAAATTGATTGAAATGTGATTTACCAATACGAAGAGAAACAGGTAGAATTCCATTAAAATCCGGATCCAGTAATACAATATCTTCTCCAGTTGGCAGCTCGTCCTGAAGATCTAAAACGACATAATTCTAAATATATAAATAGAAATATTTAGCTCGATAATGACCTTAAAAATATATATATATATATATATATATATATATTTTTTAAAAAAAAAAAAACATCTCACACTATTTGACGCATCCGTTGTCATATCAAAGCTGAAATTATCATCGGCTATACATAATTCTGATACCTTTCTACAATTTTTAGAATTTTTGTTTTCGCAAAGTGGTATTTGATTATTATATGCTACATGAATCTTGCATCCATTGTTACATACTGGAAACACCATATCTAATGTTCCATCACCATCTAAAATAAAAGTCCATAAAGTAAATAACTTTCAAATTTCAAATTTCCAAAAATCAAATTTTTTTCAACCCACCCATATCCGCAAATGATATTTGACCAACGCCTTGCGGTAAATCGCCAAATTTGCTAAACACATATCCATTAATTGTGCTCGTCCATATTTGATATGATATTTTTCCAGAAGTGTCTTGACAAGTAAGGAACAAATCTATAAAGGGACACAAAGTTATATCGTATTTTTCAAATAAATTCTTACATTTCTCGTTTTCATACCTGATCTGCAATCACCATTAAGATCAATGAAAGCATTAGAATGTGGTTCTGACAATATACAAGGTGGAACATCTGAAGCAGGTTGCAAAGGTAATGGCTTCCTAAAAATCCGTATTAAAGAGTTTAACTTAAATTGACAAATCTTTCTCATAATTTCAACATAAAGAGTTGTTTAATTTTCTCACACTTGAAATAAGTCTGTTGTTCCATTATTATATATATTTTGCCATATCGAAAGTTCGTTTACACCTTTATCAAAGCTATGTCCTATTAAATCAATTTTCATATCACCATCAAAATCAAATGGAATGGGTTGTTGATATGTAGCTGATGGTACATTAATAAAGTTAGGATCTAAAAAAAAAAATATGAATATTATTTTAATTAGAATCATACATGTAAATGCAATGACATTATAGAAGTTAGATATTACTAAATGTGTCATTCCCATATCCAAAGTATACTCTCATAAAAAGCGGCTCTTTTTTTCTATCGTTACTTGATGGATTAGTTTGTCCCATAACTAAAATATCCAAATTTCCGTCATAGTCATAATCTCCAGGTAATATGTTTGTAATTATAAAACTATTTTCCTCATTTGGTGATATTGTTATATTTGCCGAAGGTGATATATTAAATTTATAATCCGCTATAATGGATAAATTAAATTAATTATATATAAATACATAAATCGAAATATTTGTCAAATGTCAATATACCATGATCCCATAAATAGACACTTAAAGACCTTTGATCTGAACTTAATACAAATAGATCTGTACTAAATAATTATTAAGAAATCGAAGGATGTTTGGTAATTCAGTTGATAAAATAAAAATTAAAATATGCTACTGAGAAAAATGCTCACTATTTATCAGAATTGAAATCTGCAAAAGCCGCTACTGTCCCAGATATATCTCCTAAGCCAACGTCTTTTAAAAGATAAAGCGCACTTGTTGTATACTTTTCACGTTGAAATAATGAATGTGTTTGAGGTAAAAACATTAATAAGACTAAGCAGCCTAAATATCTTACAAAAACAGGAACCATCGTAAAAAAGACTTTTTATAGAATTTATATAAAAGATTAGGTATTTATTGATAAATTTCAATTACGAAAGGTAATTGTTTTCATGATCTCGACCAAATAGCCAAAAAAACTGGTTTTATTAGTAATTGGATTCGTCACTATTAATTAATAGATTTCTTACAGCTATATTCTTTAGAATTACTTCAAAAGACGGTGCGAGCTTTCTTTTTGAGGCTTAAATTTACTATTTATATCCTTAATGACGTGGCTTTTTATGCAAGGGCTTGCATTAATTAAGAATAAAGCTTAATAGATTGTTATAACTGCAAATTTTGCGTAACGTTCGATTTCAATTGATTAATACCTTTTTGGGTAAAAAAAAATGAGAACCGAAAAAATTCAAGGCTTTAATATTATTTATACAATTAAAATTTTAATTATTTATAAAGAAAATCTATAGTAAATAATAAATATTTTAATTAAATATTTTTTTTTTACTTATATAAAATTCTTTTATTTGAGAAAATCATTATAGTTAACAATTCTTATTACAGTCAACTCTCTATAATCACCTTCGTTATAGTCACATTATCTATATAGTCACTTTAGTTAGTTGTCTAAAATTTTTATATATAAAATCTACTTGTCTATAATCATATTCTATTTATAATCATTAGCATACTCTATTTCAAAAAATTTTATATTAAAAAATATTGTTTATAGTTACATAAAAAAGTTTTTTAATCAATAAAATTTAGATAATTCAATTATAACTTCAAATAAGTTATTGCTATATATCACAAGTATTAATTCTTAATTCTAAACTTATTTAGGCTCAATTCTAACTATTTATCATTTGATAAGCTATTTATTATTTTTATAGCATTCTATTATCAAGAAATACATTATTTATATAGCCTTTAGAACATAATTTTAATTTCTTAAAAATTTATGCTATATAGATTGCTATTAAAAATATTAAGATATATAAAGAATACAAAATTCTGAAATATTCTCAATATATCTTTATAACTCTAAATTATATACTATTATTTTATAATATTTAGATTTAATTCTAAAAATGATTCTTCATAATGAAAAAATTTATGCTTAACTAAGTTAATTGTAAATTTTTATATAGAAACTTTACATTTTAACTATTTTTCTAGATTATTTATGCTATATATTATTATAAAATTAATTTAAAAGTAATTTTTTTATGAAATATTAGAACAAAAAAATCTAACTAAAAATTTTGATATATGAAAAATCTAACTAAAATTATATAATAGATTCACACTTTAGCTATTATTTATATTATATAATATATAAGAACACAATCTAAAAGGTGATTCTTCATAAAATATTAAGACAAAAAATATAATTATAATTTTTAATACATCTAAAAACTTAACTAAAAATTGTTAATTAATCTAGGTTTTTTAAAGTCTTATCACATAATTAGCAGTAAGAGATGCATGTAAATTAAAAAAATCTAAAGAAAATAGATAATAAATAGTATATTTTAGATTCTTCTACTATTTAAAATGATATCTTATTAATTTTTCTGCTCTAAACTTATCTAATTGTATTATTAATATATAAATCCTTATGTAGAATTTGAGATTAAAATTAAGCTTGACTCACAATCTAGCTATTTGTAATTTCTGATATCAAAATTACTTGAAATTAAGTTTGAATATCAAGAATTAATCAATTTTTTATAGCTGTTCTAGCTCAATTTTAATTTTATCTAAGATATTAAAACTTTATCAAGAAGCATTTATAGTGAATATGAAATGGAGTGAAGCATTGTGAAAGTAGGATATAAGGTAAGATGAATTAGAAGTATTGTTTATTTTTTTATATCTGCTAATTCTTACTTTGGAAATGTATGGATAATGTTACGATTGAATGTAATTTTGGCCAAAATCCTCATAAATTCTCATGTAAATCGTTTTTGATATTTATAGTTAGTCTTTTGATGATCATTTGCCAGCTGTATGACAAATGTTCAAGATGCCAGGCTGGCTTAAAATTGTTTTTTTTTATATATACTGAGCTGAAAATCCTAAAACAGCTCGTTCGCCCTTGTGATATTTATTTGATCTACATTCCTTCGAAATCCTCCTTTTTACACCTTCGTGATAATTTCTATTTCGCCATTTTAACTTTATAATATTCG